AATACTGTGTGTGACAGTGTGTGTCACCATGACAACACAACCCTCATCATCTGCACGGTTTCATTTGGTCCAAACCAGCTTTGGCAAAGGTTGTGATACTCATTTGTCCTGTTACTGTAACTTCTGACAGTTAATCTGACCTCTCAGATTGTTATTTGTAATTAATATTTCCTCAATAAAGCACTGTCCATATAAACAAGGTCACAAAAAGTGCTATACATTTTTGATTTAGAGAAATACAGTCAAATTACACAGTGGAGTTGCAACTAAAGATTAGTAGTGTTGTAATGGACTGTAGCTGATCTGTGATCCGTATGGAAAGAGAAGCACAGTATCTGACAAGCAGTTCTTATGTTAATCCATGTGCAAAACTGTGCACACTGAAAACCTAAAGTATGCCTGTGTGTTTTTTTTTCACTCCCTACCACTCCCCAGCCGAACGGCCTGTTCTAGGCTGCCAGCTGGGTCCTGCATGCACCTCACAAGGGAGGGGAAATCACAGCCAGAGAGCATTCAGGCTTGCAACACGGGGCCTTTCCACTGATCTCAGTGCAGCAGCAGTGAGAAAGGGAGAGGAAACGGAAGGAATGCCAGAAAAAGCCGAACAACCACAAGGTAAGTCTCAAACAAAAAGTACAAAAAGAAAGAGAAAGAAATGAAAGAAGAGCTCTGAATGAGCAAATCATGAAACATGCAATGCCTAATTTAAATCTTATGTGTACTGAGCATTTAAGAATCATCTCTCTTCAGATCCACTACAGAGCACGTGGCCCTTGTTGGCTATTCTGAAATGTAACCTCTGCATGTCTCACACTCAACAACAAAACAATATCACATGACTGGGGGGTGTTAAAAACAACAATCAACAATCACAGTGCAGGCCTGCCTTTAACTTCTGAAATGGAGCACTGGCTGCAACAAACCCCTGCACTGTGAGGTGCAGAGCTGCACAGTGTGTGGCTCTTAGCAGATATTTATTTACTAGTGGTTTATAATGAACGGGACTATGGCTTATAAAGGAAACCTGTCACTTGTGTCCGTAAGTGAATACATGATTCAACAACAAACAGTGTGTTATGCCTTAACAAATCATACCTACAAACATAAAAGGTCACTAAAACAAGGTAGGTGTTTTATGTATATAGTTCAGTGAGATGAAATTCATTAGTTTCACAATCAAAATACCAGACATGAGCAGTCATTCAAATACTGACTTTCGACATTACTAAAAGGTGTAATTTTTATAATCCTTTAGGCTTTATAACATGGATTATTTTATTTCTGTACACACACACACATCAACAAAACTAGTATCACAATATTCTGATTTTAACTCCACAAATGACTTGATTATTATTCTTTACCATGAACTGCTTTGTGTTTTTAACTCCACCACATTACTGGTTGACTTTTACAATTCAAGAGACTGACTGTGTATTCAAAAAGTAGCAGGGATACAACCTGACTGTAAAAACAACACTGAGAATTCACGCACGTTAGTCTGTACAGTATACACATATTGCTGTTCACTACAGTTGTTCAGGAAGCGTCTAAATTGAGGACTGAAAAATTGCTGTTCCCCCAAATCAGAAAATCTAAAAACCAGCTCAAAAGATAATCAGGTCATTCCTACAAATCAAAAAATTTAAAAGTAAAATAATTAATAAGCAATCAGTGATTCATAGCACTTGAAAAAATAACAGCCCTACCTGGGGAAAATGGCTGGAGGTCTGAATAATAAAAGGTAAACTGATTAATATCAAATCCAGGCTATCAGCTGGGGGTATCAGGGCAATTAATTAAATACTGTCAAAGTAATCAACAACTTTTCTGATCTGAATCATCAGCAGTGTATTTTTAAAAGACAATTCACAGTAGCGCACACAGACAGGCATCACCTGTAAAGAAAATAAGCACTGGTTTTCAATGCAAGACGTTTGTAGCCACTGATGAAAGCACGAGAGTCACAGGTAATGGCTGGGGAAAAATGCTATGCTGAATCAAGGCCAAAACATCTCCACACAGCATTACAGAGGGTTCTAATATTGTCTAAAGACCACTGACATGTATATAATGGACACTTCCCTCCACCATGCAAAAATAAGGCAAAACTATCGTGAATACGACAGCTGCCATCTTGCTTTTTTGCAACCAGTTTCGGCCCAGAAGTAGAGTGATAGCATCAAGGTCAAATCAACTAAAATACACTCAAAAAACAGGTCCATATGAGGGATACAAGGGGCAGGAACAAAAGAAAATATGAGATATCCAAACAGCAACATGCATCACTTAGCTTTGACATCTTTGCTCTGGAGGCAAGGAAATATATTTACAGTACACAATTATGGTTCAAAAGCTCATGAATCCTTGAAACTTTATTCGAATGTACAGTTACATCCTTTAGCCCATTCTATTTATTTGTAGCATTTCTTAACATTGTTAATATCTTAGTTTAAGTGTGTGTAATATTTGCTAAAACCAGCAACAATATTTGCTCTTATTTCTAAAGACTGGCCAAGTTATCACGATCATTGTTACAATTACATACAAAGAGGCACACCTAAAAGATGCATCGTGTTGTATACCAGCATTTACATTTAATATACATACTGATTGTTATTAATATGGAAACCTTTAACATGTATACACATCTGAGTTTTGTGTTTTTCATGCATTCAGGCATGTGTCACCTGCATGACCTGCAGTGAGGATTTATTTTGATACACGAGTTTGAGGAAACAGAAGAGGAACTAAGAGACAAGTGAAGTGGCAGTTAGCACAACTGGCTCAGAGCCACATACATACATGCTCTTTACTGGCGAGAATTATTCAAACTTACACAGAAACAAAAACCTGCAGGTAACAAGTAACAATGGTGTTGGGAATTAACTTAGTAACAGCTAATTTGCTGCTTCAACTAACTGCATCTCATTACAAGTAGAAAGCGATATATAGAATATAACTCTTGCTCTGCATATCAGTTTGTGCTGCTGCTACTCACTGACTGACAGAGCTGTGTGATGTTAACCCTAATGTACATGTATTATAGCTTATTGGGACAATGCTTCACAACAGTCAACTTACAAATGCTGAATGTCAAGACACTTCAAGTCACAACAAGTCAAATCTTGAAGGACAATACAAACCACCATAGATTCTTTTCAAAACAATCCCTGCCGGTCTCTCCCTTGTCATGTGACAATGACAGAAGTTCAACTAGCATAATGTAGAATGGATCAAATCATCCAAAGAGTATGACCTAAGAAGGTTTCACCTCAGAAGTTAAATTCAACCTGTAAACATTTGTGGGGCAGGCAGTTTTAACTGTGACACTTTTAAACAAAGATTCATTCACTGGCAAGTGTCATTAAGTGAGTTGAAGTAGACTGAACCAATTTATAATCATATTGAGCTATCAATGTTCTTATGATGTGACAGTTTCATTTATTCCAATTTTATGTTTGTCTTCAATGCATATATGTATGTATACTGTACCAGCCAAATGTCTGGAAACACCTTTTCATTCTATGGTTTCTCCTTGTTTTTATTATTTTCTACATCGCAGATTAATACTGAAAACCTCAAAACTCTGAAATAACACATGGAATTATGCAGCAAGTAAAAAAAAAAAAAAAGAGTAAACACAGCCAAATATGTTTTACATTTTAGAATCCTTAAAGCAGAAAGTAAACTTTGAAAGTTCTTGAAATTTTATAGACTGGCTTCTGTCTTAAAGTAATGTTGGACTGTCATTACACTTTGCTTAGTTGAGCAGTTTTTGTCCTAACAGATTACTACAGTAGTCGAATAGGACTCTTTCCTACATACTAACCCTAACTCAGCAAAACACAACTGGTGGTCTCAAATGCATTAAGAATGCAAGAAATTCCACCAGTTGACACGTGTTAATTTAAAACCATTCCAGACAACTGCCTCATGAAGCTGGTGATGATATCGCCAAATGTGCACAAATCTATCTTCAAAGCAAACAGTGGCTACTCTGAGGAACAAAAATACAAAACATATTTAGAATTAACTTTTTTTTTCTTAATACAGACTTCTATATGTGTTGATGGCTTCAGTATTGATCTGCAATGAAGAAAACGGAAACAAAAAACACTGTCCAAAATGATGGTTGGTACAGTTTGTCAAAATAAATTTGCATTTACTGTGCTGTTACAAAGAACATACAACTAATTAGTGTATTGTTGAGTATTACTGAATAAGTAAATGTGCAGCAAAAATTTTACAGTACACTAAATATAAACCCTACCAGCCTGTACCACACTGTATATTGGAAACAAGACTGAGCACCAGCTGTCACTTCGCCCTGTATTAAAATGTAGAGACAGCAGTATAGGGAAATCTTTAGTTACCAGTTAAACCAGCTGCCACTTTGTCTAATTATTATTAGACATAGTGGCAGCATACACAGTAATTGGCTTTCTGGTGCACCACTTACACGTTACAGCGTATAACGTTAAAGGCTCACAGGGCGTTTACACGTAATAAACCCCACAGTTCTTTGATACATAACACAACCAAGGCTAAATAATAGTTTTGCTTCACTACGCTAGGAGAGTACCCATTGGGGGTACTTAGCTCTGCTGTTAACTTAACGTCCCGGTTAGCCCTAACCAACCTGCCTAATGTTAGCAAAGATTGCTATTTATCAGTCATCGATTCAAAGTCCAACAAAAATGTTTAACTAACGTTACACAGGGACCATTTAATGAAACTATTCGGTCACCATAAAGTTATTAGTGCAAACTGCAATGTAAAGATGTTCACAATAATTTGATGAACAAACTCGCCGACTGGCCTTCTCTAGAGCAGCCCAACACAGGCCATTACTTAGATTGCTGACTAGCTAACGCCAGCTAGCCATGCTATCCTAGCAGTAACAACCAACCAACAAAAAGATAGATTCCTTTATAACTGAGAAGACAGCTGCATTTAAGTAAACGAGTAAAGGCATGTGCAAGTGCAAAACAGCTTACCTTTATTTCCACTGTTATATTTATTCCAAGGGCGGTTGGCACAACATTGCACTCTCTCAATAACATCAGCAACCAACAACATCCAGCCGAGCTGTAAACACAAGCCAACCAACCCGCCGATATCCACACTGCGCATGCGCGTGACAGAATCCTCCTCATTAATGCTGAAGAGGGGAGGCTTTGGCATTATGTAATAAAATGTATTTCACAGAGCTGTTTTCGGGTTTTTAGGGCAAGCCCAAGTCAGGTCTCAAGTCAGTCAAGACAAGTCAAGTTTGAGTGTCAAGGCTCGACTCTTGTCAATGCAAGTTTCAAGTTCTTAGTGCTGAGTCAAGTCATCAGGCTTCAATAGTTGCATGTCATTTGCAAATCTTTCACTTTCAAGTATCTGAATGCTTACCGCTAAATGACGTGGCATTTGAATGTTTCTTTTTTTTAATTCCAAACTTGTGTTTACAGTGTTTTTATATAAATGACAGCAAGTCCTATTAGTCAAGTCAAGTTCTTTCTGGCTTTTGACTCCTTACCTGATTCCAAAGGAGAGCTGCACAAGAATTCCTATATGCCTAGACTGTCTATTTATGCATAAATGGCAAATAAAAATCTTGACTTGACTATTAAATAATTGAGTGTAATAGATAAATTACAACAGTGTTCTGCAAGGCCTTTGTAGTAGCTTCATTTATTTTATTTTATTTTTTATTTCTCCAGGATTTACCATGTCAAAATTTGATGCTTTCATGTTTTCCCTTTTTGAAGTCTCAAGTCAGGTCAAATGCTCAGGAAGTTAAGTTCTCAACAACTCAAGTATCACAGCCAGCAATGAGTTTGAAGTCCTCACTTTTGTGATTCAAATCTTAAGTCTCAAGGCTACAGTTCTGCATGTTCAAGACAAGAGTATTTACATTTTTTTTATATCTTCAGATAAAATATAGCACCTAGAAACTGTAAACTGGGATTAGATTGATTATTTTTCCTCTCTCATTGCCAAGTTCCCCCCCTCAGTAAATTCAAACCATATCTTAAAACCTGCTATATTGTCTTTGGTGCATTAAAATCACTGGCTGCCTTAATTCCAACCCTTCTTCCTCTTCTTTTTTTAAATGTTCTTTTCTTACCTGGTGTGCATAAGAAAGCCACTGCTTCAGCAGTTCAAACCCATGTAAGCCAACACAATTCCTAGGTTTTTTGCACTAGTTCATTGAAGATGGCGCCCTTGCTCTCTCAACTACATCCCCAAATCAGCCACTAAACCAAATCAGTCCGCTGTGAGAAACACACTCACAGTTCTCTCATTATGCTGTGGTCTTGGTGGCCCTTCCTGTCCAGCCTGTCAGGGCTCTGTTTCTGATTGTGAATGAATAATGTCACTACACTATAAGCACAAAGACATTTTGGTTGTGTCTTCTGACAAAATCTGACAAATGATGACAAGAATCACAAACAGACATTATTTGTTGTTGGTTTATTGTGGCATGCAATTTCATGTGCTGAAATATTCCTTTTCATAATTCCATCTCTCAGTGCAACACAGAAGCAGCATGCTGCTCGGCCAAGCTGTCTGTGACTGTGGCTGGCTGTCATTGTAACACAGGTGAACAAGTCAGTAAATGCACAGAAGAGTCTAACAATACTCAAACAGTTTCATAAGTCATTCATAACACATAAATCATTATTACCACAGGTTAGACATACTCCATTCCTGCATTACCATATGAATAGTAAAAGGGAAACCTTTCACAATGTGATATTTCCAAGGAAATAAATCAAATACGTAACAGTATTATTCATTATGGGGCCATTTTAGATATGCTGTCTCTTAAGGACTTTGTTTTCCTCATGTTGAAACATTACACAACTGCCCCAATGACTTCAACATTTAAATATATCTGATTATCACAGGTTGTATAAATGAGTGTCTATACTGTAAGTCCATCTAATGATGGTGCCAGGCTGTATAAAATGACGGATGTGTACCATCTGTTAATAGTTCATTTACATTTCAATCGAACAATAGATTTGCAAATAAAATGTCTAATACAGACATGAATAGTCAGAAAACATCAGTTCATTTTATGTTTCACAATCAACAAACAGGCTTTTCCCCCATATAATATAGAATAATGAGACTTGTCTAATAAAAAATTTCACCAGTTATCGCCAACTCTCAAATTCAAAACAAAGAAGCAGACTTAATATAGACAGAATAGCCTATACTGAGAAGAAAAAATACCACAACAACAACCAAATGTGGTCATTACAATAATAGTAATAACAATATAATCTCTATTAAACAATAATCCATTTTCATAAGCAAACAAGTAAAATGCTGCAAGCAATCTTCAGCACTTGACGTGGCCACACAGTGGGCATGTGCAGAACTGTTACAGCGCTGGGTGTGTTGTATCACAACTACAGAATTATTAATACTCCTCCGCCATCACAAGAGGGACTATATTGCATGCACGACACAGGATGCAGGAAGGAGGCAGGGGTGATAGAAAGGGGGCAGGGGGTGGCACTCGTTGGCGGTGCACCTGCTGGCATTGATGGGATGGGAGTTAGTGCAGTGCATTTAGCCTCTACAGCAGTGCTCTATTGACACTTTGAGGGAAACAGGAAGTATCACTCTGACATAAGGTCAATACTCACAATACTGTTTTAATATACAGTAGTGCCCAGCCCTTTCCCATGAGAGCAAACACAGCAAAGCAAGTACTGATACTGAGAGGCAGAGGAAAACAGTGGCAAAGTAAACACAGGCAAACAATATCACTTCAACCCATTTATACTATGGGTGCAAGGGTCACTTATCAGCAAGTGAAATTCAGGTTAATATGTCCACAGAATATTTAAAGTGATGACTATAAAACAAAATAAAATAGCTGAGGAACTCAAGTCTTCCCTGAGCATTCAGTCAAGGATCTGGCCTCCTCTAATGGAACAAAGCAGAACTACAAGAGAGGGGTCTTATTTCGCAGCTTGAGTGAGCATTTCCTTCCTCACATACTTGGCAGCTGAGGAAACACTGTAGGAAAATAGCAGGGACTGATTCTATTGTTCTGTGTACAACATGGCACTTAACATACATGACTTCAAAACTGAAGTTGTAAACAGACACTGAGTGATAGCAGGGAGCAGCTAAATCCCTATCAACCTTTTACATTAAACCCACAAAACCCTGTCAAAAGCGTATCATTACATCAGGTCACACTTCAGTGCAGTTGTGCACTTTCTATATTCACTTCTCTCAAAAGTTGGGTGGAAGATAAGAGAGATCAATCCATCATTTCAATGCTCATTCCTGTTAACAATATTTAAAATTGTGACTCAAACACCCCTCCTCATATAAGTAGCCATTCTGCCATCCTCTAGAATTGTATTTAAAACATAACTTGAGGGGGAAGACATTGCTGCTTGCTTCTCAGGAAGTTTTTGTGAAGGTATCTGTTGAGAGGAAATTAATTAAAGAAATTGAACCATCAATTAACCCTCCTCATAAGATAAGATAATCCTTTATTGTCATTGTAACCTGTACAATGAAATTTTAGAGTGACCTGTCATTTACACAAATCTCATAAGATTTAGAATATGGGTAAACAAACTCAGGGGAGTCTTCATGACCTTAAACCCTGTAAATCTATGATGGGGGTTTAGTTTTGTGCTATTTATTAAAGTCATTAAGTCTCTCATGACAAGATGCCCCATCTATAAATAGTTACGAGGCAAGGCTAGGCTGCATGGAAATCATCCATGCCGCACAAAACTACAACAAATAGACTTTGGTGGATTACAGCTAACCTGACGACACCTGATGGGCAGCAAACAGAGAACCAGACAAGACGACCAGTTTTATATCCACTGTGAATTAAAATATATCAAATCAAACAAGGGTAACAAAGATCGGATACAAAATTCCCAGACAAACAACTTCACAGAAGTTAGCAATGCAAAAAATAAAATAAACCAACCGAAACTTTAAAAAAGATAAACAAAGATGTAGCATGGAGAAACACAAGAAGCGGTGTCCCTCACGTTTGTAGACTTCAGTTTGAAACATCATGTCTGACCTCTGAATGTTTTTTACATACTGTAGTATATAAATGTCACAGGACTGGAAAGCACTGAAAAGGCCATGGGCTTACAAAAATGTGTTTCCAGTGTCCAATTTCTGAGATCATGTTGTGATGCATAAGCTAAAACCATTGCAATAAGTCAGGAGTCTGTCAGTCAGCATGGACGAAAGTCACTGTAAGCCCAGTGCTCAGTTTTATACAATACCAAGGAGCAAAAGGCCACTGTACTGAATACTTGTGTCTACTGCGTGTGAGGGAGAGAGCTTGCAGTGGACACGATTAAATGCCAAGTACAGGCACACGGAAATAGAACAACAGATTTTAAGACATACGGTACTGTGAGTTAATGCAGCTTGTATAGGAATCTGCCAAATAAGCTCAGAATAAGGTTTGTGCGAAGAAAGAATTACTTTGTATTCTTAAGTTGAGAGCTAAGAAAAGATGTTCAAGATAGTATGTCATAGATAAAAACAGTAGAACACACACACACACACACACCTATGACCTCCAGTGATCAATAATCATTTACAAATTCGGTTAATTGTGTTCTGTAATCTCATGACAGTCGAGAGAATTCAGAGGTCAACATTTAAAAGATCATATGATCCATAAAAGACAGAGGGTGGTTTCACTATCAGCACAGCAAAAACCTTTGTTTTCTGTAGTTTTATATTTTGCCAGAGGGTTGAGCAATCTATCTCTTTATTTTTCAGGAAACAGTTATTAAATGCAGCAACACAGCAAAAGCCATAAACTAAACCAGCAGCATGGAGCTGTTTGAAGTCACTGCAATGTAAGACTGCTTAGAGAAACATGCCATAACATGTAAAGAGATAGAAAGACGTGACAAATAATTGTCAGATATCCATAAGGTGACACAATTTCAAAAGGGGGTAAATAATGCCACTGTTTTGTTTAATGTGTCATTTGGAAAGCTGTGTGGAGTTTGACTATAAACCAGCACCAGCCTTAGATGAAATAATTTTTCCAAGGCACAAGCTAGAGAAATTATAAGCAGTAAACTTAAATTCATTATAAATAAATGGGTGGGTTACTATGGTAAATAATTTGTATTTACTTACACTAAACATGTCAGTTGTTGCTGTTAATCAAAGCTACATATGGGGAAAAATTAAGATTAAGCAGAGGAAAAGTCAAGTTTAAAAAAATGAAAAAGTGGGATGACTGACATAAATTCACTTATCATATTGTCACCTATGGACTTTTGCTGTCTGACACACGATGCAGCTTTGTCAGCCGTGTTCAGTGAGAACACAGTGGATGATGTGTAAACCTCATCGGCACAATGTCAGGTAAAGAGAGCGATTGTGTGAAGACACGTTGGGATTTCCAGCCTTTCTCCAAAATGTGTCCAAGATTTAAACTACAAACATCAGCATCTTTTGTAAGGGCAAACTGGTCACATACCTTCCTAGGCATAAACAGTGATATCACAAAATTCTCTGTGGAGATAGACACTGGTGACACTTAGCAGACAGGGCGATGTGTTTTCTTGTGCCCCTTGCAGCACAGACTGTTCCATATCTGTCAAGTTTTTATTTAGGCATATGACTATCATGTATATAAAGCCTGAAATGTAATGGTATTCCCCTTAACCAAGATCTGGTGTTGGGTGAGCGACTCAACTCTAGCTTTACGTAGGTCAGTGTCTGATCCTGTTTCCCTTTAGCTTCCATTGAGCAGCATCTCTGTCCCGGGTGTTTCAGGACAAGCCCGGGTGGAAGAGTCCCCTGGTAGTGGAGGTCCAGTCCGCAGCACCAGTTTGCCGACACCCAGACCTCCTGAGACAAACCCTCCGGGAGACAGGGACTTCCTGTAAATCAAAGAGAAAGGAAGGAAGAAGAAGGCTCTGTACACTGTACACTGTACATTAATATCTCAATCAAGTCGAAAACAACTCAGACTGAGAACTATGTAACACTGGTTACCATGGTAATTCACCTGAAGGCCATCTTTTTCAGAAGGTGAGGATCCATCTTTTCTGGCGAAGGAGCATCTGTTTGGAGTTGCTCTTCCACAGGGGATTGGAGGAGGGGAGAGGAGCAGGGTGGTGGGAGGAGGTGGGAAACATCCTGAGACTGTGGGGTAGTCATGTCTAAAGACTTCTCCAGCAGAGAGATGATACAAATAAAGATGATAGAGACTTGTTTGTACTTAACTGTCTTACATTTTACACTGCACTAATACAAAAAAGCTTTAACCCAAAATGTTCTGATTTCTGCTGGATAAATCCAACTCCAAGCTTTACAACATCCCTATAAAACTATCAAGCATCATCACTGCATACATGTGTTTTAACATTATATGGTCCATCACTCGGTTTGATAATCTACATGATCATGTACCAACCTGAGACTTGATCTCCTGGTGTTCTGAGTCCTCCATGTCCAGAGCGCACAGTTCAAGCTCAATGTCTCGGTCCGGATCGAGTTCACTCTCAGCCTGATGCCGATCCTGGCTGTAGGCGTTCTGATGGGCTTGCAGATCAGAAACTTTTTGCTCTCCACTGCTTATCGAAGTTCGACGGCCATGAAGCTCTGTCGAACAAAGCTGCTCACTAACAGACACAAACAACCACAGCTCTGTTTTCAGTCTTATGACAGAGAGGCAATGACTGTAGCACAATGTGATTGGACAGTGGGGTGAGAGTGAAGGAATGAAAGCAAATGGAATGAACTTCCATGTGTGCCTGGGTTGGTTAAACTGAGAGAAATCTAAGCAATAATATGAAATTACCTTAATCATTTTCACAAAGGTTTGAATTGTGTCAAAAGTTTAGAAAAGCAACATTGCATCTTTGTGATTATAATAACAAAGTTTACTGTTCACTACACAGTTCTTCCCGTGGGGTTGGCATGTTTCTCGATAGTTCAACAGTATATAAGACATGCAGGAAAATAAGCTGCTACAAATAGATTTAAGAAAAACAATCATATTGGACCTCTCTAGGAAACTGGAGTGGCTGGAAGAGTCCGATCCTCTGGAGTTCCACCTGTAGTCACTGTGACCCAAGTGGGGGTTGTAGTCTGTGAGAGACAAACAAATGAACAAAGTAAACAAAAGGCAAACAACTAACTTTGAAATAATAATAATAATAAATAATGTATATAAAGTGTATTTGCACTGTATATTAAACAGTTTACTAAGTGCTTTACATTAACACAATTACATAATACAAGTTTTATACTATTTTATACAGTTGACAGAAATATAAAAGATAAAATCTGGTTAAATGAAATAAACAAATCCAATTATAAACTTAAGGTAAAAGGCAAAGACAGCATGACAGAGGCAAAAACCAATAGCTATGATTCCGGCTAAGAGTTAGACTATAAAACAGATTTGCAGAGGTGAGTTTAGGGATGACACGTAGGCAGGTAATAAAGTCTCAAAAAGGAAAAAAAATGATGTTGTCATACTTTGTAGTTCTCCTCTGCTCTCTCTGTACCACCTTTATTACTCTACCCTGTCTACTTCCTTCTGTTTTTCTGCACCTCTCTTTTATCCCTCCCCACCTTTAAAGTTGATAGCTGTGGTGCTGGCACTGCTCTGGCAGGCGGTGGCTTGGACAGGGTCTGTGGTGTGGTAGCCCGTGCGTGATGCCCTGGATATGGCACCCCACTTGGAGATAATGGGTCCCTCACTAAAGGGAATGATTGGGTCCTCATCTTTCAAGCGCCGGTAGTGATCCAGTGAATGTAGCCACCGCTTCCCGACACTAGCACTGCTGATGCCGGCGCCTCTACCTCCGTTACTGTCCAACTCCTGCATGAGAACACTGTGTCAGAAAGAGAGGCCACACACGTGTGTCTGTACCCGCTTGTGGGTGTGAGAAAAGTCTCACCGAGTGTTCTGAGCAGGGGTGAGCTGAAGTGTGGGTGAGCGTTTCAGGCTCAAAGGGGCTGAGGCAGGGGCCGATGCTACCACAGGACCACGGAGAATAGTGTGCTAAACTTTCCTCACTGCTGAA